GTGAGGTGTTTACCTGGCATCATATGCAACTTGGTTTAGTATCTTGCCCAAGAGCCCTTTGGCGCACGGAGTTGCAGCAAACCTTGTGATTAGTGGGCAGTGTGCTCTACACTTGGGCCAAGGCTGCGCAGGATGTTTCCAGTTTTCTTCCATTTTTACTCGTAACTAGCGGCTCCATAGTGTAGCAGTGTTCATCTAACGAGCGAAAGAGCCCCAGTTTGATCCCAGAAAGATGCACAAATCCTTTTGGGGGTTATTTCAAGAAGGTATAAAAGCCATATTCAACTCCATCATTGACCTTTTCAGATCATTTCTCCATACAGAGGTTGTTATAGGTTTGTGGTTTCCCCCGAGGTTTATTTTGGAGTGAAAAGACATCAGCAATCAGTGGTTCAAGAGTGTGACAAGCTGGCGGTGGCGTGTTCAGTAGTTGTTTCTCTAAAATCGTTTAAAAAATGCTGCTTTTGGCTCAACTTTGACACCAGTTGCCCCCATCGTGGCCTGGAAGTGTGTTCCACAGAATTCCAGTCGCGCTGCTGGATGTGTTTGTTTGGCTTTTGCGGACAGACGGGACATCAAGGATGTAATCAGATAGACTGCCGCTGCATTGCCTGTTCATGCTCAGTCCTCTCTGTCTTTACTCTCTGTCTCTTTTATTGAGTCACTAAATTATAAAGAATTATCCCATTAAGTTCATTTGGGCCAGAACATCGGATGCTGTGTTTGGTCCTTTTAGTGGTTGGTTTGTTTTTCTCTATCTAGTTGTAAATGGTGCAGAGGGGGAAAAACCCACCCCCTAAAAAAACGTGTTTTTCTATCAAGAAATTCCCAAGCTTGAGTCAAATCCTCTGTTATTGATGTTATTAAATTGTGTGTCTAAATTAAATAAAGTCAAACTGGACAAAAAGCGAGAACTAAGGCCTGCTGGTTGTTTTAACAAACAAACCTGGGCCTTGACTGTAAATAAATCATTCCCCCTTTGCCAGCCCGGGTGTTTGTTGCCATAGTCACGTTGATTTAGAGTAAATGCAGTTTGTAGAAAGTTATGAAGGCTGTTTCTTCTCTTCTCTCTCCAATAATCACAAACATTGCCCTTTTATGAAGCGAGGAAATTTCCCATGGGTTTTCTGTGCATTTGTGTTGTGTTGTTGCGACTGAGCCACGTATGTTGCTGTGCCAGTTCTTTATTTTGAGCTTCTGTTTTTTGAAATTTATTCCCCCACCCGACCAGTGAGTTTGTGTCCTGGCTGATGGAAATCGGTGAAACGGACAACCCAGAAGAAGGGGTTCACCTGGGTCAAGCTCTGCTGGAGAATGGTATCATCCACCACGGTTAGTTTTTCATTTTTATCTCCCGTCCTCTCTCCCACTCAGACCCGCTTTATCATCCTTTGCTGTCCCACATATTAAATCAAATCTGCCACAGTCTAATTTACTTTGTGCTGCACAGTGTAGAGCATGCAAATGCCTGCCATTCCCTAACCTAACCTCTAGACATGTCTGAAGAATGCTGTGCTTTCACTCTCTGGCTGGAGTCTACAAAGTAGATGTGGCTCTCTTATTTATTTCTTAGCAGGTGTCCCATTTAAACACAGCTTTGACACAATGTTTAGGTAAGGGATTATAAATATTAATCTTTTCTTGCCTTAATGTTTGTGTTATATTTTCTCAGCTGCTGTTCTGTGGCTTTGGGTAACAAGTGTGTTTAGTGCATGAGACTTTAAGCTGGCTAACGCTCTGCATTCACACTAAATGGTGCATGCAGCCCTGCATGGTTTTTCTTTCTTTTTTTTCCTCAAAAGTGTAGGGCCCCAAGTCAAGTTGTATCTTAAATCACTCAGGGGCACTTTATTGCTTCCTCAGTGAGAAATGAGATGGGGCTTTAGAGCTGTTCCTGACAGAGAGGAATAACTCAGAGCCCCTCCGAGCTCTCTCTCACGGTGCAGTTAGCAGTCCCCATGCGAAAAACGATAGAATATCTTTTTATTTAAAAAAAACAACAAAAAAAAAACTTTAATGGAACCCGCTCAGCTGCAGCCAAGAGTACGGAGCCAGCTTTATGACTGCTGGAGGGTCTACACACAGTCCCCTGAAGCGAGAAAAGCAGGAAGCTCTGAGCAGCTGTGCTATCTGTGACTGCTCTGTGTGGGGTTGGAGTCCTTTTCTTGTCTGGAGAGCTTGTTTCTCTGTGCAGCCCTGCTTGGTTTGAATGTGTTTTGGTTTTTTTTAATTTTCACATTTAAAGCAAACTGAATAATGCTCCCCTTCACTCTGGGGCCTGAATGTGTGGCATTTCTTTAGTCACAGACAAACACCAGTTCAAACCAGAGCCCGTGCTCTACCGTTTCCGCTACGACGACGGCACCTACCACCCGAGAAGTGACATGCACGATGTTATATCCAAGGTAACAGTGTTGCGGTGGAAACGCAAGTCGATTTAAAATCGCACTTTAAGCACATATCGCTGAAATAACCCAAAGTCTCTCTCCTGTTCCTCACAGGGTGTTCGGCTGTTTTGTCGTCTTCACAGCCTCTTCACTCCCGTCATCAGGTGGGCGGTCATTTTCTTTTCCACTCCATTGCAGTCAAGCCAGGTGGGGGCACGCGTAGTTCAGCGTCTGGCTTTTGTGCCTAAAAATAACCCCTGCCTGCCACATACGAAAAAGTGACTAAGAGGGATTAGGTTGTGAACTATGAGCTCATTGTTTTCGAGGACTTGTGAGGAGTTGGCACAGGCTCCTGTGGGTGATTGAGCATGACAGGTTTTATCTGGCTGTTCTCAAGACACAGATGTGCTGAAAGAAACTGAATCTATTCCCTCAATTTCCCTTCGATGTTTACATTCATGCTTAAAACAAAAATTGGTGATATTGTGATGAATCTCACATCATTTTTGATGCATCCGAGAGGAAAGTTTGTTGGAAAATGTTGTCATGGTGAAGAATGTGAGTTAAGTGGGTGATCATTTGATTACAAAGAAGGTCCTCCTACAGTTTCCCCTTTTTGTTTGTGTGTGTGTGTGTGTGTGTGTTTTATAACCTAACACATGGTCTTGATCAACATGGTAAGCAGCTTAAAAGGTAATTCTAAATATCTGGTAGTTGTATTAATACAAGTTTGACAAACATTCCCATATTTGTGGTGTTTTTACTTGCTTTTGTGGAGAGATCTTAATTTCATTCCACATTTTCATCAGTATAAAACCTGTTGTTCAATAAATAAAGCCAAAAATTAAAGTTATTCATGCAGATTGTTTTGTCAAAAATATATGACCAGGTTTCTGTGCTTGTCCCACTAGACATCAGTGTGGCGTTCGATACTGTTACAGCAATAAGAGATGTTGTGGGTATTGAAGGTACTGTGCAGTGGTGAGTCGGTGAGTCCTTTTCAAACACAAAGGTTAGTTAGCGAGTTCTCCAGGGTTCTGTGCTAGGACCAGTTCTATTTACATTATACATGCTTCCTTTAGACAGTGTAATTAGAAGGCATAGCATGCATTGTCACTGCTATGCAGATGATAGCCAACTTTTTCTATCCATGAGGCCATATAACACACACAAATTAGTTAAATTGCAGGAATGCCATAAGCACATGAAGACCTGGATGACCTCAAACTTTCTATTTCAGATAAAACTGAGGTTATTGTATTTGGTCCTAGAAATCCAAGAAATGCAGTAGCTAGCCAGATGCTCACTCTGGCTGCATTACTCTGGCCTCCAGTAACACTGTGAGGAATCTTGGAGTCATTTTTGACCAAGATATATCCTTCAATGCGCATATTAAACAAATATGTAGGACTGCTGTCTTCCATTTCCATCCAGTATCTCCAACATTAAAAACATCCTGTCTCAGAGTGATGCTGGAAATCTAGTTCATGCATTTATTACTTCTAGGCTTATTCATTCCAGGATGTCCTAAAAACTCCCTGAAAAGCCTCCAGTTGATCCAAAATCAACTAAATTCAAGACTACAGGCAGTTTCCCTCGGATGCGTCTCTGTACCTTGCAGCATCACGTGGCCCAGTCACAGCTCAACAGTGCCTCATTTATTTATTTATTTTGTCTCAAAAACAGCTCTTAACACATTTCATTTAGAGTGACTGACATCATATTGATCTTGTTTTTTGAAAGGCACGCAGAGCCATTCCTGATTTAAAATGACATACAGCATGATGCAAAACAGTAATTAAACTTGGAAAATAAGCATGCTGGCTGGATAGAATGAGTAATGAAACTAATGTGACTTCTCTCAGTATCTTACAATAAGGGAAAATACTGGAAACTCCCCAAAGTGGACTCATCCAGCGTAGGCTATGTAGAAATTGTCACTTAGGCAAGTGCTTTTTGTTTTTAAAGCTTTACCTAGAGTGCCTAAATGTTTATTGGAGTATACAAGTTCTTTAAAAATCAGGCCTCGTTATATCTTAGAGACCTCACAGTGCACTCTCAGACTGCAGATTTCTTGGTTTTTCCAAAAGCAGAGAGGGAGGCAAAGACTTCAGCTACTCTCAGGATTTCTTTTTTGGAACCAGCTCCATGTTTGGACTCAGGACAGACACCCACTCTGTTTTTAATATTAGATTTAAAAATGTCTTTTTTGATAAAGCTTGTATTTAGGGCTGGGTCAGGTGACCCTGAGCAATCACTTAGTTATGCTGCCATTGGCTTAGGCTGCCAAGGGACTTCCCATGATATAATGAGGACTTCTTTCCATCCATTTCCTTCTTTGCTTCCTCGCTTCCGTAGTTTGGATTTTGTCCTGCCCTCCTGTGCTCACCCCCTAACTAGTTGCAGCACATGGCTGCCCCTCCCTGAGCCCACTTCTGCTGGAAGTTTCTTCCTGTTAAAAGGGAGTTTTTCCTTCCTGCTGTCACATAATCCATACTCATAGAAGATTGTTGGAATTTTGTCTACTAATGTAGACTAATGTAGACCTTAGAGTGGCGACTGTTGTTGTGATTGGCGCAGTATAAATAAAATTGGATTGAACTGAGCTGAATCTGCTGGCCTGCTTTGGTTTTTACTTCTTATAATCTGACTTTAATTCTATTGCCACCTGCTAATGTGTTGTATGGCGAAACACAACATCAGAGTTGGCTGTTTATACTGATTTCAAATAACCCGAATAAAAGCTTGAATTTCACAACTATAAAACTGTGCCATGGCTAGCGGGGGCACGCTGATCCTTCATCTGTCCCAGCATAGAGACTTTTTTTGTTTGCTCTAACTACTAAAAACCCCAAAGGGTGAATTTGTGTGTGTATGTTTGGATTGTCAGCATTCAGTCCACTGGTGTTTTTGTGTTGAGGCCAAAACTCTTGACGTAAAAACTCCTGTTGGTGAACTTGAGTTGTGTGCGTTGTTAGCTCACATATCTGCGCAGCGCATTCTCCCTGGGAAGCCAGTACAATGCATCACAGGGCCTGGGAATGCCAGAGTTTAATTGGAGCGACCAGCCCCTGCCTAATTAGGTGGAATTTCCTGGCAGAGTAAGAGCGATTAGGCAAAGATGGGGGTATATACTATGCAGACCCCATAACCCTCTGCAGCTTCTTTGCCCCCCTTAAGCCTCTGCTTTCATTACAAGAAATCAGTGAATCCAGCCACTCCAGGGGATCTCGCTGCAAAGGAGCAAATGCCCACTTAAGCTGTTGTACACAGTTATATGTTGAAATAGATAATAAGAACAATTTTTCATCATGTACACAGGGACACTAGAGCCAAGGCCACTCATAAATATTCTTTACATACAATGGGGGAAAAAAACTGTCATTTTTACCTCAGCATTTGAAATGTTGACAGGTTTTCCTCATTATGCTGAGGAGTCCTCCAGAAGCTCAATATTTACTGATGCATGGGTAGGATTTTCAGAATAACAAACAGTATGGAAAACTGCTTGATTAATTTCTCACTCCTGAGCAGTGGATTAAAGCTTGAACTTTCAGCATCCTCTGTGTAATTTATTCTAAGGAGTACTTAGAAAGTACGACAGTTGCATCCGTTTGCTCACAAAATGTCAAGACAAACTTTGTCATTGGACAGCAAGTTAAAAACCACCTCTCTGACCTTTCCCTCTGTTACTCCTCAAACTGCTGTTTCCTTATCCTCGACATATGGCTGCCCAATGGGCCGTTGTTTACCCCCATTTTTCACTCTGACAGCCTCACTTTGCACCAGCCGCTGAAGCCCAACTCTCACTGGCTCTAGTATCCCATTTTGGGGGAAATGCAGGGTGGCTCTTGGTTCCTCTGTCAGAGTGGTTTATGCATGGTGCGACATGGCTTCCAGCTGTACCGTCCTCATCCAAGACTAGCGCAGGCTGTCAGGCACAGTTATGTAACAGAAAGTTTCAGAATGGATCAAACATGGCCGCGCTTGGCCTCTAACAATTCACTTTCTGAAGAGTACCAGGAGTCTGAAATCAGACTTTAACTTGGCCCACAAGTCTTGTTTGACTTGTCTGAACTGTGTGTGCTAGAAAGGCCTGTGTATGTTTAGTTTTGTGTGCGCGTGTGTAAGTGTTTGCATGTGCTGGAAGCGGTGGAGTGGTGTAAGTCACGGTGGTTCTGGACTTTCCCGGCCCTGCAGCTCAGCCCCCGCGTGTCCCCGGGGAGGCCCCTGTGTTCATGGGAAAGTCACGGCTCCATTTCAAACAGCATTCTCGGGGTCTGGCAAAGTGCGGCTGTGTGGGTAACACTGAGAAAAGCAACCCCATACTGACATGGAGCACCCCAAGGCCAAACACCAGCCAGTGCTTGAAAAGATGCCACGTCTTGCTGACACTGGGAATTATTATCCCTCCTTTTGGGCATTGTGTTTAAATAGACCAAGCAATTATTTCTCTACATATTCTTTGCCTACATTTTTTTTCACAGTTAAAGCAAATAGTAAAATTAAAAATACCAAGAACTTTATTTTCCAGATCCCTCTATTGATATCTTCTGCTTTTGTGCCCATCCAGGGACAAGGACTATCATTTACGGACCTACAAATCAGTGGTCATGGCTAACAAGCTCATAGATTGGCTTATAGCACAGGTAAGCTCTTTCACTGCTTCATAAATGTTATTTAATAAGAATACAAGTTGTTGAATTTGTCTATTTTGCTTGTGCAAAGAATTTGATGAAGTTAGATTATTATTCTGAACACCATTTTTTTTTCTTTAAATTCAGATACTTATAGTTTCTTGTGTGTTTTTAAGAAGACACCTTTCCATTAGTTTCTGGCCATGTTGAAAATAGCTGTCCCACCTCTTCCCCTTTCAAGCATAGAAGTTTAAAAAAAATAATTCTGGGAGTGTCTGCTGTTGTTACACGTCAGTCACTTCAGATGTGCAGCAGAAAAAAAGACACCATCAGACTTGAAGCTCTCAAAGGAGCCGAGAGGAAACGAAAAAAGAAAAGCAGAATTGATTGGATAGCAAAGCTTTATTGACTATGACAGGAAGTTCTGAGCTTGACAGATTGATAGTCCTGTTCGGGACGACAACAAAGGGATGAAACATATATGGCGACCAGCAACCACAGAATCGCTGGCAGACATTACATGCTTGTGTCTGCGTAAACGTGCATGTGCGTGATTGCGGTATTCCATATGCATGTGTTTGAGTCGGTGCAGTGGAGTGGCTCTCACTTCTTCAGTGGGACTTCAATAGCTGTCACACTACACTGTCTAGACATGATTTTGGCTCTGTTTAAGATCGAGTGTGCAGTGGCTCTGCTGGCCTTGAGGGCTTTTGGACGCAAGAACAAAGGAGGGGTGTGAATGTGACATTTTGACTGCACTCTAAACACACAATGTCCTTTGTTCTGTTTTCTCTCATCCTCCTTTGCTTCTTTTTTTTATCTTCTGACTTATTCACTATACCCACTCTTCACGCTTACATCTGTCTTATTTCTCCCGCGTGTCCACTCTTCTGGTGCAGGGGGACTGCAGAACGAGGGAGGAAGCGGTGATCTTGGGGGTGGAGCTCTGCAACAATGGCTTCATGCATCACGGTACGGCACTTTCCACTCCTGATTAAAATAAAAGGGAAAAAATCCTGCAGAACTTTGGAATCCTCTCCATCACTGAGTAAATGAGAGATGAATGCTTTGGTGAAACCACGCAGAGGGCGTCTGGCATTTAGCGTCTGGCATTTAGCGTCCTGTTTTAGAACATAACCACACTTGCTCTTTTTCCATTTCTACTTAATATCCCTCTGACATGCTACAGGAATAGAACTATTTTCCAAACCAGTGAATATAAGTGCGTGTGTGATGCTTGCATACCATCATTAATTCCATGTATGCATGTTCCCATATACTGTATGCACTGTATATGTCTTAAGTAACTAAGTGCTATGGGTAAATACATGAAAACTGTTTATCTGTAAGTGCAAAACAGACAGTGGCCATGGTTACAGTTTGCTTATGAGAGTCGGATTTGTTTTTAACTGCGCACCTCCCCTGTGCCAAAGTCCACATCATGCACACTACAGTATGAATCACAGCATGTCACCTCGTACCCCCATGATGCAACTGCTTCAAACTACCCGCAGTTCAAGCCTCACACTACAAATTACCAGCACATCTCCAGAACATAACAACCCCAGCCATCAAACTTCCTGTCACTTCCACTGCCTACAGGGTAATTTCATAATTTCATTTCGTGCCTGTAAGTTATTTGCCCTCACGATGTAGCTATATCTGATCTTGAGAGGAATGAAGTGAGGAAATGTTAGAAGGAAGCTCTGTTCTTTCCCCTCAGGGCTATTTTTTGGTTTAAAATTGAAAGTCATAGTGGATATGTTATGTTACTCCTGAGACCTGGTTTGTTCAAAAGATTTTTTTTCCCTTTTGCCATAAAAGTGGGGTCTCATTGTTTCCCAAAGTGTCTATTTGTGCATTTGGCGTGCAAATACTACTGCGGTCACACTTAGATGGGTTTAAACTTCTTAGCGTAATGCAAAAAGAGTTTTTTTGCTAAATTTAACATGTTCTGCTTCTGCACAGCACCACACAGTGAGGTTACTTCCTCAGAAGTTGTCTGGGTCCAACATTTTAAATCCACCTTTCAAGTAACAATTTTTTCCGACACTCGCATACATTAAAAAACAATTAAAATTAGGATCTCCTATTACTTGCAGATATAGGTAGGAGTCAGATAACAAGCTTTAACACATTCACATTTAGCTATCACATTAAACTGTACTTGGCATTTGTAGCTAAATCTGTGGACTGTTGAACTTTCCAGTCACACTTTTCATATGTGACTTTGTTGTCACCTCCCTCAGTGCTGGAGAAGAGTGAATTCAAGGACGAGCCCCTACTGTTCCGCTTCTTCGCTGATGAGGAGATGGAGGGTTCCAACACAAAATACAAACCTATGAAGCATGACCTGAAAATACTTGAAAATGTCATCTCCAAGTCTCTCCTGGTGAGTGCTCCTTGGTGGATTATTGATCGATTATCGCTCACTCCGACTGATATGCTGTGGCTTGCTGGGATTTATTCACAACTTGGAGCAAAGTGGAAACGCTGTAAATCATTATGCAGCACACAGCTGTGAGAAGTAAAAGTAATAACGCTACAAAAGTCCATTTTATACCTTGGTAAGCAAACCTTGTTTGTTTTTGTTTTTTTGCAGCGAGCGAGCAGACAGAAATGTGTGTGCTATCGGTCTTTAATAGTATCTTCTTCTGCTGTGCCCGTGTTTGTGCTCGGTCTGCTCGCTTGGGATTTTGCTGATGCGAGACATGTTGTTTTCCAGATAAGGCCCAGTGATGGAGGCTATGGCTTTACCCTGGAAGAGAGGAACCGAGTCCCCATAATCAAATTTGTTGAGAAGGGCTCCCCAGCTGAGGTGACACGGTCTCACACACAGAGATGCACAAAAGCACAATCGTGAAGTTTCTTCTGTACTTCTTTGAAGCCTTTTTGCAACGTGTTAGTAATGTTTATGCAAAAAAAAAAAATGCATTCCAGGCATAAAGCTCTCCTCGAGTTGCTCCTCATTTAGCAGATCATAGGTTATAGAGAATAGGAAGGAGCACTGCTAATGTGATTGCTTTGATTTTATTTTCAAAGATGAAAGTAAAGGCAGAGCTGTGTTGCAGATGTGCCAGCCAGTAGAAGTCTTTTGTTATTAAAATGTGATTCAGTCATTAGTCACGAAAAATATAACCTCGTGACTCTTTGCCCTTCCTTTAAACCTGCTTTATTGTGATGTGGCACTAATGCTACCTTTAGTGCTTTCATACAAATATGGGGCAGATTTTTTTTAGCTTTGATCTGCTATTTGAAAATGAGAGAAGAGGGTTCGAAGGCAAATGTGATCAGTTTGAGCGCATGATCTATAATTCCCTCCAGTCCTAAAGTAGCACTGAAGGAGCCTTGAACGTCTGGCTTGCATTGAGAATAGCGTTTTGTGTGATGTCTTAAAAAAAATTAAATCCTCAACAGGATCCAGCTGTGTGCTGACAGACACAAGTTACCCAGTGTTGTCTCCTAATGCTGGGAGTGTGCGTGCTTTTCATTGTGATTCAAACAGTCCACTGTGATTCTGCGTCACATTAAGACCGAATGTGTGACTTAATCCTTTTCTATAATTTATATTTATTTCTCTTGTTCTTCATATTCTCTTTCAAGATGGCTGGTCTGGAAGTGGGGAAGAAGTTGTTTGCTATAAATGGAGACCTGGTGTTCCTCAGGCCTTTCTCTGAAGTTGAAGCTCTCCTCAAGCAATGTTTTAACAGCAAAGGACCCCTCCGAGTGCTGGTCAGCACCAAGCCTAGAGAGTAAGTGTCAGATCTTTGCACGCACACGCAATGTCAGTTTCATCTTATTGTGTGCATATCCCAGCTCGGTAATTTACTCTTTCCTTTCATTTCCAGGACGATTAAGATTCCAGACTCGGCCGATGGCTTGGGATTCCAGATCCGTGGATTCGGTCCTTCTGTGGTCCATGCTGTTGGGAGAGGTAAGAGATTGCAGTTTCCACCACTTGAGCTGTCTGGCCTCATCAGCAAAAGTCTTTCCATCACCTCTTTGTTATTGTGGCACAGCTGGCGAGCAGCTGCTACACCAGCTTTGGGGGTGTGCGTGACTTGGCTGCGGTGTGACATGATCGCAATGATTTCCATGCACCTACTCGCATTTTTCTTAGCAGTTCGATTAGGATAGGAAAGTTTGATAGGAAAGGCTTTGTTCAGCAATTCTCCTTCACCGATCAGTTTGATAGGAAAGCACTCTGCATTTTTTTGCTCTAAATTCATCAGGCCTCTTACCTAATGCAGCATATTTAGTTGCACTGCTATCAGGGCTGGCATGAGGTAGGGTCCAATCAAAAAACAATTCGTCTCCATCTCAAGGGAATTGAATCTTTTATTTTTCCCCGCCTTAAGCAATCTAAGTCAGATTGCAGAGTATGTGCTTTCGTGTCAGCGTGCATGTGTGCGCCTGCATGTGTTGACTTGATGATGTGGTTGCTTGGGAACCTGGTGTGTGTTTAAGTGGATGCTGCGATCCCTGGGGACAAAGCTCAATATATATAGGAGGTGTCTCATTCCTTGGATTGTCATAATAGCTTCTGTTCCCTGGTGTCTGAGGTCAACAGGAGCTGGTAATACCAATTAGAGATGAAGAAACCGAGGCACAGAAAAAGAGCAGTTGCACAAAAATCTCTGTCGTGAAATTAATTTCACACAGCAATTCAGCGTATTGGCACCGTTGCTTGACGCCGGTGTTGCACATTTTTGTAAAATAAGTGTTTATGCGAACCAGGCATCTATATTTTTACAGCTGTGGTCAGAAGTTTACATACACTCATCATAGGCACGAATGCCATGGTTTGTTTGGGGGTTTGATTTCTTTAAACTTTTGTCTGCAGTATACATCACTGCTGTGATGTGCAGTCAATTTTTGTTTTACAAGTTTGAATTTATTTAGGATTTTCTCTAATCTAATTTGTTTAAAGGGTTAAAGGTTAGGCTTTCAAACCTAAGAACATAATGTCAGCTGTCAAGTATGATGGTGGTAGCGCCATGCTGTGGAGCTGTTTTACTCTCAGTGGTACTGGTAGGTTGCAAAAAGTGGATGGTAGGAGGATTGCATCTAAATTCTTCAGCTTCACCTCAAATCAGATAGTTAGATGGTTGAAACCTGGACAGAGGTGAGTGTTCCAGGACGATGATCCCAAACACATATCAAAACTGGTTTTAGAACAGATAAAGCATGCTAACATTATGCTTCAGGAATGATCTTCCCAAAGTCCCAAACTGTAAAGTATGCGGGAAGCTTGCTCCATGTCAGGAAGGCAACTAATTTAAATTAAGTCTACCGATTCTGTTAAGAGTGGTCAAATATCAGGCCAGAGATATGTCACCATGAGAACAGATGACAAGAAGCTTGTTGATTGTCCCTTCTCATCATAGTTGGTGAGGGTTCATGTGTGTATTTGAGCCCGTATGTATAATTTTGACCCCGTGGGGATTAGAGAAAATCCAAAATAAATTCAAACGTCTTGTATTTTTAAAGTCAGTAAAGATGTATGCTGTGCAATTATTCCACAGTGGAAAAAGAACAGTTTAAAGAAATCAATAAAACGCCAGACTTATCATTATATTCATGCCCGTGATGACTTCACGTAATTTTTGACCACAGTTGCAGAAAATCAGAAGTCTAGATGGATGTGTGTTATTGTGTTGGTTGTTTTTTCCTTATGATATAGACATTTTTCACCTTAAAATGTCTTAAACACGTAGAAAGGTCTTGAATGTAGTGTAAGTAGAAGGCACTAGCCTTATGGAGTGCCATAGCACGACTCCACATGGCCAGAAAGCCATCTTTCAGCTAGTTAACTAGCTGAATCCTCCTTGAGTTGTCTAAAAATTGTTTGGTGCTATAGCTAAAATGCTAACTACTGAGGATTCAACTGAAGTTTCAACTTTTGACCATTATGAGTACACCATCTGGGTACTTGAGCTGCCCTTCATTTAGTTGTGCTTATCAGTGTAAACACACTTATGCACTCTAAATAGTGTAATAGTACTAAAGTATGCTGTTGTAAACACAATTAACATAGCAAGCAATAAAGTATGTTAATACTGTTGGGGTGACCTTTCTAAAGGAGCAACTCACCTGAGACTGGGTGCTTAGAGAGTTATTGATTATTATATTTTATCGTTCATTAGCAATACATGCTTATCCTTTTAGAGAATCCCAAGGCCTGTGGGGGGATTGGGCAGAAAGGCCACTTAGAAGATGTTGAACCCCTTGTAGCATAAAGAAAATATAAAAATGTTTTGAACAATACTCATTCAAACTGGACTTTGCTAAGTGTGTTTTTAATGTAATATGTAGACTCTTCTCTTCTACTCTATTAATAACTAGAATATCCTTGTCTATTGTTGATATATTATAAGTTCAGTTGATGCGGAAAGGAAAGTACACTGGATATGTCCGTCCCTGCAATCTTCGGCCAAGTGATTACAGATTCTTTACATTGCAGCGTGAGGTTTTCATGATGTATTTTTAAGGAGCTGAGAAAACAAATGGGAGGAATATTTAGTCTGCCATACACTTCCTTCTGATAGCTGTAAACCTTGAAGTTCTCCTATGGTCTGAATCACATCCCTCAGAGGCCTTCGTCTACCCCAGATAAACAACTTCCCTCCTCCCTGCACCACACTCTCCTTCTCACACTCCTCCTGAGCTGCCAAAAACAGGAAACAGTCTTGTAAATACAAAGCAAAAAAAAAGAATGTTGTTCAATCTAATTTTGCATACAGGATGTGGAAAAAGTGACAATTATTTTTTTTTTTAGGATGTGCTCATGTTTTTTTCATCCGGTTTCAGCATGCACCTGCAAGATAACGTGCAGTAGCTCTTACTCTTGTCACCCCTCCTTCCCCTTGCATCTCTGTCTGTCTCACGCCAGGCACAGTGGCAGCAACTGCCGGTCTCCACCCAGGCCAGTGCATTATAAAGGTGAACGGTATCAATGTGAGCAAGGAGAGCCATGCCAGCGTCATCGCTCATGTCACAGCGTGCAGGAAGTATCGGCGACCCACGCAGGTGAGACGGAGGAAGAAAGGAAAAGCAAAAAGGGATAAACTGCAGAGTAAATCTAACCAGACACAAGGATTTGTCAAGGGGGTGGGGGTGGGATGTCATCCAGCGGTAATGAAAAAGTATTTAATTTTTATTATGTGCCACTGTGGAGCAGAGAAAAAAATGAATAAATGATTGTCTTGCTGGAAAAATAGAATTCATTTCTGCAAATTTGTTAGTAGAAGTGCAAAAGAGCAGAAAATAAGGGAAACTATTTACCCTGGTTCTCTCTGCCTTTCCTTCATTTGGGTCATTATGCAAAAATAATAGTAGTTTTGGCTTCTTTAGCACTGACCCCTGGCTCACAGTGGTGGGCTTGTTGTGGGAGACTGGCAGGCTGCAGATAGAGGTGGGAAAGGATCCCGAGGCTGGCTGGGGGTCAGAGTGGGTGAGAGCCTTGGAGTAAGACTGATCGAAGATGGAAGGAAAGAGGGGGATAGTGTGGGGTAGGCTAAACAGCAGACAAGAGTAGGAGGAGAGCTCGGTCCACCTGTCGAAGGTGGGAAACGGTGAAAAATAGAAACCCCAGGGTGTGTGTATGGTGTGAGTTAGTGTAGTGTGTCATTATAATTGAGCCTCGTGTGGACCTCAGGCTTAATGGTGCACTAGAGTGTTCCAAAACTCCTGGAGATCTGGTTTCCATCAAGTGTGGACCCGGAGGAACCACCCTCTCGTTCTCGCTCTTTGCGTCTTTGTGTGTGTTTGTATATGCGTGCCTGCGTGTGCGGTTGTACACTAGAAAACCACAGACCAATGGGACGGCGCAGCATGTAGCCTTGGCAGAAAACCCTCTGTGGGCTTGGGTGTAGAGAAAGGACACACACACTCAAATACACACAGGGCATGCTAGAGTGGGTTGATGAGTTTGGCATGGGTTTGCTTTTGCGGTCTCACCGAGAGCCATGTTTCCATATGTTTGTGAAGACTTTTCACTGTATGCTCTGCCAACCCAACTGTGACACTGCACACCATATCTAGGCAGAATCCGCTAAACGGGCTGCAACAAACCTCCAGCCTCAGCTTGTGTACACATGCACACAATCAACAGAGTAATAGAAATGCCACCTGTTAAACACCAGGGTTGGAGGGATAAGAGTGATGCTGCAGTAGATTGATTCATGTGGACAGTTGTGTACATATGGGCCTATAATTTCTCCAGTTAAATTAATTGTAAATTAAAAGAGACTACAGTTAGTCAATTTAAAGTGTAAATTGGGGGGAAAATTTCATTTTAGCATTTTCTTCACTAATATGATACAAAAATAATGTTATAAAAAGTTCAAATGAAATCCATCTTTAATTTTTTTTTTTTTCTTAAATGTATTTAGCAAGATACTATCAAGTGGGTCTACAACAGCAGTGAGAACGCCCAGGAGGACAACCAGAAAACTAACCAGAAACCCATCCCTGAGAAGAATGGAGATGGCTTTGAGTGTAAAGTCGAAGGTGACGACACACGCACACACATGCTCATTCACAAGCTACATGGGAATATGTCATTTTGGCAAAGTGCTTCTTTTTTTTCCCTTTTCTCAAAGTGTCTGTGGATGTAATGCAGGGTTGTTCACAGGAACACAATCCCATTACCTCCTTCAGTTAACAAGTAAAACATAGCTCCAAACATGCTCATCTGGAATGTGTTAGTGTGAGAACAGCTGCCCCCTCTGGCTCATCAAGTGTTAATTTCCCCCTGCAATTTATGCATCCCAATGAGAGAGTAAAACAGGAAAGCTATTCCCTTCATAGCAAACAGCTCTGTCAGGATTTATAACTACATTAGGTCACTGCTTTACTGTAGGGCTGGTTAACTTGCTGCTCTTGGAATTGCTCCGGGGTTTGTTTTTTGGAGGGAAATGGAAGAAAGCCACGAGCAGAAGGTCTTTCTCTGAAATTATCTGCAGATTTGGTGGACAGAGGCCTCCCACAGTTCTAAGTGTGGTGATGAAAACACTGGAAAAAACTGCATCAGTGCATTGTAGGACATTATTACATGTCATTATAATAGTTTCAGGCATAAATACTGCCTTGTTGCTTCGCCAACATAAACATAAAAAGTTTATACTATGTTTTTTTTTTTAATGTCTTATGTTTTTGTGTCTCCAACCTCAGAGGTAATGGACAAAATCAACACTATAGCTATCATTGATGGAAAAACAGACCATGTAAGTCTGACAGTAGACAATGTCCACCTGGAGTACGGAGTGGTGTACGAGTATGACAGCACAGCTGGCACCAAGTGCCATGTACTGGAGAAGATGGTTGAACCCAAGGGATTCTTCAGCCTCACTGCTAAGGTAAAAATGCAATTACATGAATACATTACATTTCCTTTCTCATTAGGGGTGTGTGTTTTACTTATTTATCTTAATGCAAAAATAATTGGTAGGCTAGTTGGTAGCTTTTATAGTAGATATTTGTCCAATATCAAATTTTCCAGCCTTACATTTATTAGCATTTTCTCTCATGTATTGTATTTGTTTAACTGAATATGACTCATAAAGCTACTTTCAGGTGCTTCCTTATTTACAAGGAGTTGTCACAGCACATAGCCCTGCATGTCTGATTTAGCCTTACTTAAATCCATTTCCTGATGCAACCCTAGAGAGATTTTTCTCCCCTCTGGAGACTGAACTGGAGATCTTTTGCTTGTTAGGTGAATGTGTTAACCTCTACACTATGGATTCATTAATTGCAGGCCTCATGTGATTCACTATTACTATAAGGCAGGAGGCAAAGTTTGGTGTTTAGTGCTCTGCAAAAATGCAGAAAAGCCCCCATGAGGTGTGTATTCTCCACCTGACAGGGAACCCAGTAGTTGAAGTTCTCTGTGTTAGCAAATCCACATCTAGCAGAATGTCTTATTCAGCTAGTAAAAATCCCCCTGAGCGTAATTTATCAAGCAAAGATGTTGCGTTAAGCTGTGACTTTCATCCTGGATGGTTGTGGACAAAAAGAGGGACGACAGTGAAAGAGAGGGAGACATTTTATTACCTTTTATATGATGGATAGTGGTGCTTATTACCAAAGAGCAGCTCCTTGCTTGGTAAGGGATAGCAGCAGACAAGATGTGAACAGACTTTACATCTTGTCTGTGTTTTAGCCGGCTCTTGAGCAGGAGTCTACTAACACACGAGACTTTTCTTCTCAAATTTGACAAGATACACAAATTCCACCATAAATTCCAGTGTAACGTTTTTGTTGTCACTAAATCCAACAGCTTTCCTGCTGTGCAGATTGGAGTGGAGCTTGAAGCTAGTGAAAAGAGACAGCTTTATTTTAGTCGTGTTAGTTCTCAGCTGGGCTAAGTGCATGCTTTTTACATCCCAGCAGTGATGTTCACAGAATGATCATTATTGATTTAAGATACACAGAGGATGGAAGACTCACTCAGACACAGATGCACACTTGCTGATGTGGGAAATGAAACACAGTTTGAAGCGTATTTCTGCCAAATTTCATGATGAACAACATCTGTCTTGTTTATGGTAAATTAGACAAGATCACATTTGGGTACATGTTTTTAAGTTGATCTAGATTTACTGTTCTTGTCCTCTAAAGTGTGTGAAAGCTCTCTTCTAAACACTGCCGATGACATGCACAAAACAACACTTGCCATAACTTCTCTCACTATATGCAATATCTCTTTTCTCCCAAGTAAAATTTTAGCGTTATTATAAACATCTGCTCCCGCATTCCACACCGTCCTCTGAGATCTGCGTGATGTTGAATTTTAATGTTGGTTACGCTGTCGGGGTGCATGGGTTGTCTTGTGCTTCAGTCTCTTCCTGCTGTTACATTTCCTCCCTCGCTTTCCACCCTCCTCCACTGGGCATCTCATTAAGAAGGCTCAGAGTTTTGTGTGTCTTATTGTCTTCATATCTAATCTCTGATTTGCAGTCTTCATATAAACAGTATATGCATCACAATAATATTCATATTGGAATTAAACTCCTGATGAAATGCTGCAAAAAAATCTGCCCTCTGTCCAATTTTGATCTTGTTTTCGACTGAATAAGGAGCTTGGTCATTCATTTACATCCCATTAGTTCCCCCAAAAGGGATTTTTTTTTTAAAAAGAAACATTTGCATATCATTTAATCAACCCTGACTTTGTTTACTCTTTCTGAAATCAGATCCTGGAGGTACTGGCGCGTAATGATGATGCGCTGGTGCAGATGTGTGGAAGGTTGATTTCCAGCTGTGATCTGATCCCAGAGGAGCTGCGGGTGCGCCTCAGTGCCATGCATAGTGAGAGGGCAGAGCACATTAATCGACGCATCACTAACTACAGAAAGGTAACTGTTTGGAGGGCCTTGAGCAGTCTCTTGTTGCCATGCTAAACTGTACAGCTTGGAAGTGTGAGTATGGACAATTCTCTAAAGACTTACAACAATAGAAACAGGATGCAGCTGGTGTGGAGAAACACGCTTGCATAGATCCACAACATAGTTTTGCTCCTGAAAGAAAGACTGGGAATCCTTTCTGAAAGCTATAAAACATAAATATAGTGTAGCAGGACTTTTAGAGGGATTTTCACTACATACTTACTGGAAATGAAAAGAAACTTTAGTGTTAAGGACTTTAAGCACACTGAAAAGGTGCAGACAAGGTACACATGCATATTTTTCTCACTGTGCTGATTTTGTTTCCATTAAAGTATCAAGGTGCATCAGTCAGTAAATGGACTGGACCGTAGTACAAACAAGTTCAACCAAGAGCTCAACTATCCGAATGCTTCTTAGCGGCACATGTAATGAGTGGTCGTTGACCTTCAAGACTTATTAAGCCAAAGTGTCTTGCTGACTTCCACACTTATTGCTGACTTTGTGATTGTGTCCACAATATAGCGCTTTGCTTTCAATTACAGCTGGTAAATGACAGGGCCAAAGCATTTTCAGCACTTTTTATTCACATCTGCAAGCATGTGTCTATAGGCAAAACAACGCATGCAAGTGTGCGTGAGAGGGAGAGAGGATCTGACTCAACATGCGATTGTGCCTTGGATTCATTACCAGTCACTTATAAATATCTCTGCATAGCCACAGCCAGCATTTTTTTGTTGTGTAAGATCCCCTCATGCAGCAGAGCATTCCTTCTCAGACCCCTAGAGAAAAAGAGCAAGAAATGTATGTAGAGAGAAAAATGAAATTTGTGTGGGACAGGAAGACGGAACAGAAAATGATTAGAAGGAGACATGAGCTTGGAATAAATTTTTCTGACTTATTCGGAGATCGCGTGGATGTGTTAAATGACTCTTCGGTCACTGAAGGTCACTTCATTGTCCATGTGAATAATCTGTTCAGCTGAAACAACAGCTTCACACTCCAGCTTTAAGAAATAAAAGATGAGAAATGTTTGCTTACAGGGATTTTTTTTCAGGTGTACGTTAGGCTTGTGTTATCTGCCTAAGATGCTAACACCTGATCTGATGGCTTAAAGCATCTGTTGTATATCCAAGACAGGATTCAGGCCCGGTGGGGCGGGTTCACGCAAAGTGCAAAGAAAAAAAAATACCTTCATGATATTCTGTATCAGCTGTATTGGTGACAACGTCACTGCGTGTTGTGTTTTTACAAATAAAGTGCAACTCTTAAAAGAGGTTTCCTTGCACAACAGGGTCAGTTTGGGGTAGAATTAAAATGAATATTGGCGTTGCAGTCACTGTTAACTTTTGTCTTGTACCAGCACGGCATATGGGACACCATCGCAACATCCTCACAGAAAGACCGGCATATTTGAATTAATTTTTTTGGTCTTTTACAATAGTTCCGACCTCTATGAGCTTGACCGTTATGAACGCCGAGCACTCCACCAGCTGTTCAGTTTTCTTTCTACTGCGCACAGCTGTAAACATGGCAAAGCGAAAGAGGAATGATGTCACCGGTGTAGCTAGGTGTAACTGAAATGGATTAACACAAGGCAGCCATCCTGACACGAGGCTTTCGTTTTGCCATTTTCTGTTTACATTCTTTTGCCGCTAACACCTTCTTACAGATGATATCATGCACGGTTAGTCGGGAAGGAATGTGGGGGCTGTCGTGTCACAAAAAAAGCAAGATTTTATGACTCTGTGATCTCTAGGCTGACACAGTGACCATCAGAAAAGATGAACCAGACTACTTCCAGTCGTAATTACAACATGATGATACAAGCTGCTATGCACCGTTTTAACTCCGTTCATGATAAATGATGATGTTGAGGTCTGGAATTCTTCACATAATGATAATCTTATGAGTCCGTCTTGGATCTTTCATTCGGTTTAAATATTTGAGTTTGAATGTTGAGAACATACAGAAATTGGTGTTTATTCTTTTCTTCTAGGACCAGATGTCACGCATAGAATGTAAAAACAAAACAGCACATTTAGCTAGATAAATACACCGTTGTGTTTCACATGAGCTGCATAATTCAAATATTCTTCCTTTTGTAGCCCACCGCCTACCAGTGTAACAAAAGGTGGCTTTCACTGCTGTAATTGCTGTGATTGTGTAAAATCCTGAAAGAAAATCGTTGAAACTATTATAATTTATTGCTCTTGTTCCAGTTTTCCCGGGTACTCAAGAACAGGGCATGGCCCACCTTTAAGCAGGCAAAGGCCAAGGTGTCTCCTCTCCATAGTAGTGACTTCTGCCCCACAAACTGTCACATTAATGTGATGGAGGTGTCCTATCCAAAGACCACAACCTCTTTGGGAAGTGCGTTTGGTGTGCAGCTGGACAACAGGAAGAATACGCTGGAGAAAGGAGGCCGCAGCAGTGCTGAGCAGGGTGAGCATAACAAAACCCACCAGGATAGTGGAGGAATTTTACATATTGATTGATATGTCTGTATTTATAGTTACATGTAAATAGAAATACAATACACAACTAAATGCATTGTACATAAAGCCATCAAGTTGCTCAATAATAGCTCAAAAAGGAGAAGATTGCAGTTTACACTTATGTGATCCTACACCACTTAACATTATTTAATCATTACAAATCAGTCAATATATAATCAAATGTATAGCTAAATACATACACACAGTAATAATGACCCTTGTCCAATTTAATGCACATAAAAAAAAGAAATATATATATAATATATATATATATATATAATATATAATATATATATATTATAATATATATATATTATATATAATTATATATATATATATTATATATATATATATATATATATATACTATAATATATATAAATATATATATAATATATATATATATATATATATATAAATAAATATAAAAATAAATAAAATTCTTCTTAAACAAAGTTATGCTTGGACATTGTCGTAATTCCGCATTTAAACTATTCCACAGTTTTACACCAAATACGAATACAGAAAAATGTCTTCTTCTCTTCAGAAAACTGCTTCTTTTGATTTAGTGCACCTCTTAAATTGTAAGCCCCACCCCCCATATAAATAATGGTTATTACTAACCTTACATTATAAGGTCAGTACTGTTTTTCCTCTTCAGATTTAGCAATAATATTTATGTCAAACCATCCGGTTCAAAAGTTGCTGCAAGTTCACACCAGAGCTCAAGGTATTTGTTTCATCAGAAAATAGAAAACATTTTTAAAAAAGTCATTTTGCACATATCATTCATCATTTGTGGTATACCACACACATGTCCAGCTTTTATTTTTATTTGTATTCTACTGTTTTTTTTTTTTTCTTCATGCTTCTATGTTCAGGTAAGCTGAACCCCATGGTAAATGTGCAGCACACCATTACAACCATGGCAGCACCATCGGGTCATAGCCTGGGGCGGACCGAGGGCCACGGCCTTCGTTTCCTGCTCAGAGAAGAAGACCTGCTCACCCTGGATGCATATCAGAAACTTCTCTATAAACTTACTGCTGCTGTCAGGGAGATGGAGACACACGGCGCCCACATTCATGAGTGAGCTTTGTGTGCATACCTACTCTCAATGAAATATGTTTCATTAATGATCACAGACCTTTGAAACCAGATTGTGTCATATAGCATGCTGTAGCCAAAGTAACACGCATAATAAATGTGCAACAGCTGGGCATTAGTAAACATACAGCACCTATGAATGCAATGCATGTGACAAAGATTTGGGTGGAAATGTGTTGATTTGGATTTTTTTTTCTCTATAAAACACAATTTGTGCTGGAAAAGTAGTGTGTGGCCAATCAGGATTTTGGCATGCTTGTTTCTGTTACGGGACTCATTATTTGGAGTCAATGAGGCAATGGAAAGGAAATGGGAAACACTCCTCCTGTCAAACTTAGCCACACCACCCGTGAACCAGGAAGTACTGTCTCATGTAGGAGGGTGTGACGCTAGATTTCATTTTCCTCAGTGGCCTTTAAAGAGAAACTTTTATCTACAGATTGCTGCTGCAGCAATTTGTAATATTTACTGGTGGAAAGCTAACTGGTTATAATGTGTGTGATGAAGAAGGGCCATTGTGGTGATTTAGTCATTAGGAGTCTTCTCAGCTAAGGCAGCAACATTCGGAGAATGACATTAAACATTGCAAGCGGAGCTGTCACCTAATAATGAGCGGAGTCCACGGCAGGGCTCGTAATGAGTGAGCCTGGACAAATTTCATTATGCTCCTGTCGATGGCAATTAAAGTAGTCGCATCCATGCACACTGAAATGGTCCAAGACGTACCCACCAAAGCAAAAGTGACCTTTAGCATCAGCTATCTGTTCAAACATGCGGATACACACGAGCACTTAAGGAGCTTGTTAAGGCTGAGCTGTAAGGTTGGCCACGAGTGATACTAATAGGATGCACTGCAAGCATCAGCAGTGTGACTGAATCTCTTTGACCTTTTGTGGGTGCTTTGAGAACTTTAGCAGATTAGTTTTCATTAACCTGTTCACAAATTGGCCAAGGGTCATTATTAGTACTACTTTAACTGCTACAAATACTACAGGCACCTTTTCCTCCCTTGTCTACGCTTGTCTGTGTCTTTTTCTTTATCTCATTTCCTATCTCTTGATGTATTTGCACCCATCAGCATGGATACTGCAGACTGACATTCTTTGCTCACTGTGACTCTTCCTTTTCTGTACTGGGTGTGGTCAGCTCTGACAGCACTACATGAAGGATGTAATAATGAACTCGGGTGACTATTTTGTGCATTATGTTACACGCAGTCCTCTTCCGTTCCCAACATTAGAGGAAGTCTACGGTACATTTGTGGCAGATTAGAAATATCCGTAAGCAATTTGGGAAAAGCAAACAACTCCACGTTATATAAGTTCTTGGCCGGCCAGCGAGGAATCCATTGAGGCTGTGACCTGTGAACCTTTGTCTCCGGGGCCACCGAGAAGGCTTCGCAGCTGTGTGAGGACATTCCTGGCGACGTGCATTATATCAGGGCCTCCTCCCTTCCTGAATCCATACCACCCGTTTTCATATCTTTTCCTTATTCTTTGCACATTATAAAAAAGTACCATGACTAGCAGTGGGTGGAGAGCTATAGGATCCACTGACTTATTTATCTCATTATGGAGTGAATCATTATGCAAATTTCTTACTGTGGAACAGCCTGATGTGGAGCTTTTGTAATGCAGATGCACTTACAGATGCAATAAATGTGATGGAAGTCTAATAGTTTAATGTGTCAAAGTGGGTTAAAGAGCTTCCTGTTGGAGATTAAGAGATCTTTCTGATTTGGTGCAATAAGCAGTGATGTACTTTGGCCTGTTCTCATTCTCTTTTTTTCTCTTTTTTTTTTCTGTCTCTCTCTTTTGAAGCCACTTCTCTGATCCAGTCATTGTTATTCTGCTTTGCTCCCTCGCCCCAAAGGCCCCAAACTGCGTTCACTTCTTTATTAACCAATAGCCAATCACAGAGCCTGGAGGGCTTCTCCATGGCGATGGAATGTCACTCAGTTTTACAAGGGGCATTGTGGTGCCTCCTGGAGTGGACCTTAATGAGGGCATCTCTGTGGCCTAGTCAGCCTGTGAATGGGTAGAAAGGGGGTCAGGGGAGGGAGGGGGAGGAGGTGAGGAGAGGTGTTGAAAATCATAAAAATAGGCATCAAACTGGGATGCATTTGGCTTCCATCAGAGAGACAGGTTGTTTATTTTTGATGAATCCCCTCCCCTCTGCCTCTGAAACGTCTTGGAGGCCAATGGTGTGACACGATGGAAAATGCAAACAGACACAAATTAAAATAAGTCTGAAATGTAAACAGACATCGCGTGCCAGTGTTTTGCGTGGGGAGAGATTTAAAAAAAAAAAAAAAATCCCTAGCCTAGAATTTATTGGAATATGGCTTTAAATGCCACCATGTGTTTCTGCAACTGTGAAAATATCCCACGTAGCCTCTTCCTGCTTCTCTGATAGCTGTCTAACAGAATGCAAGCCAAGGGTAATAATAAGAGCGGAGCTGATCTCTGCAGCCGTGCTGCAGCGTGTTGACACAGCTGCACCTTGCTACATGTTTGAACCTATTAATACGATGCCGATCCCTGACATCTGAAGCTGTTGTGCGGAAGTCAAACACAAACAGACTGGGGTTTGAGTTTGGCCTGCTCACTCAGCTGTGGAAGCTTACTACATTTGCGTGGGCTAAAGTGCAGACTGTATGCACCAATGAAAACGTTTCAGTGCTGGGACATGTGTAAGATCATGTGTATGATCAAAGGAGCTGCTGTTATCATGCTGCTTTGTTTCTAGATTTAAATGAACGTCATAGTTTTAAATAACCCTTCCTGCCTTTCTTCCTTTTTCCCCCTCCTTTCCTTCCTTTCTCTCTCCATCAGCCTTCTATCCTCCATCACCCATCCTCCAGCCTCAGAGGTGAGAACCCCTGAGAGCTACATTACGGGAGAGAGTGAGGGAGAGAAGGGTGAAAGGAATGGGAAGAAAGTCTGTTTTAATATGGCAGGGGATGAGCAGGAGGACTCCGGGCATGACACAATCAGCAACAGAGACTCATACAGGTAAAACCAAAGTCAAACATGGTCACATAGGGTGATCGAATTTCTGAGAGTCTTTATCATTTAAAAGATTTTCGAAAAACAAGTAGCAAAGTTGTAATATAAAGCAATATTTATGCATAGCTTTTCCTACAATAAATGCAGATGCATGGCTTAGTTTTCCATACCTAAAGTGTATGATATCAAACCTATCCATATCAGTTATTATGTGCACCTCTAAAGTATACGTCATCTTAAATTTTTTTTCTCAAATTTCTTATCAGTGACTGTAACAGCAATCGAAACTCCATTGCCTCCTTCACCAGCATCTGCAGCAGTCACTGCAGCTCCTACGTTCACAGTGACGACATGGACTCAGGTACACAAAATGCAACAATAGGGACACTGTTATCCTCCACATAAAGCTTATCGGTATAAACCATTCATGAGTTGTATTTTCTGTGTAATATCCTCATGATTGATCACATTAAGTAACCTGTGACCATGCAGCAATAGGGAGGAAAACCCTGTTTCAGCTCGGTGTCATAAACCGTAGCCTTTGTCAACAGTAATATTGTAAAAGGCTGTCTTGTAACAGGTAACAGTGTATTTGAACCAGAACTAACTAGAATGCACTGGACTTTCTGTCCACATACAGTAAACCTATGCACTGGTTTTACTACAGTACAGTTGTAATCCCCCCTCTGCAGGAGATGAGATGCCCTCGAGTGTGTGGCTGTCACATGATAAGCAGAAGAAGCTTCACAGCTTTCTAGAGCACCTGTTTAGCCAGGTGGGTGAAATATGAGTTATTAAGGTTTTTTTTTGTACACAATTTTATTTTCCCAGGACATTCCTCAGACTTAATGTTGGTTATTGGACAATGACACATTTTCTGTTATTTAGCCTCTAAACGCCACAGTGCACAGTTTAAATCCAGCAGTCAAGGTGTGATTGAAGTGGAGACAGACATTTTTATAATGCATAGTCTGCCACTTCAGTGGAACCAGGATACTAGTGTTTAAGTGGCTAAGAGTAGTTCACATTAGGCTTATGGCCAGGTGAGGTCTGCCACCTTCTTATTCCATTCTGTGAATTCAGAAGATAAAAGATAAATTGATTCCCTGTTCAGGTGTCATTGCAACTGAAAGAAGCCATCACTATGCCAAAAACCAACAGGACAAAGCAAAGACTTTAAGAGTGGACAAAATGAACAATATGGTACATTCCTATAAAGACAGAATACCCATCTGAGCCTACAACACCAGAAGCCCTGAAAGCCCACAGAAGACAACTAAAGTGGATGGTTACGATTTTTTTTTTTTTTTTTTTTTTAAAGATCCATCCAGGTGAAGAACACTCTTGAGGAGGTAGACATATCATTGTGAAGGTCTACAATCAATTTATATTCATGAGGTTCACAACAAAGTGCAAACCAGCAGTTACACTCTTGAGCACCCCATTTTCTGTGGAGGCAATGTTACAGCATGGGCACGCATAGATGCCGATGGAATGAGGCTACTAGTGTTTTTCAACTGCTGCTGCTGAGATTCAGCTAAATGTTGTAAAACTGACTGGACAGTAAGAATAGACAATAGCCCAAAGCTTACTGCAAATCAACCCAAAAGTTACTCAAAGCAGAGATAGGAGATATTCTTCAGTGACCAAGTCAGTCTCTTGATCTCATCCCTACAGAGCCTGCTTTTCAGTGACTAAAACAAAACCAAATGCAGACCCCCACAAACAATCAGCAACTCAAAGCGACTGCAGTAAAGACCTAATAGAGCCTCTGAAGGGAGGAAATACAGCATTTGGTGATTCTCTGCTTCAGGCAGTCACTGCAAATGATTTTCATCCAAGTATTAAAAACAATCTTTATATTTAAAATCCTGTTAGTTAGGAACTGTGTATAAAAATAGCTGTAATTACAAAACAGTTACAGCAATTGCACTTCAATCACATCGGTGTCATTGTCCAAACACTTGCTCCCTTTTTGTTGCCTGGTTAAAATGAAAGAAACATGTTATTGTGTCGCCTAATGGTATTGTGTGATAGTTATTTCCTTGTGTGTTAACACAAATATGAGACCAAAATGCACAGTGAATGAATTTCAAACACAAAGAGATGCTCTTGTTTCATGTGTAACTTATTGTTTTTTCCAAAGGTCAAATGTTTATTGGGGCTTTTGGGTATGAAAAGCAGGGATTGTGTATTTTTGAATTGTGCTCAGGAAGGGAAAAATTGCAAGAGCCTTAATGATCCTTGACCTTTCTGGAACCTTTAGAGCAAAGACCGACCAAATCTTATTACGTGTTTTATGAGGACATTTCAATCGGCAGAGGACAAGCACAAAAAAAAACAAGCCATGGTTGGCTGTCTCTGCTGTGCAGTGTGTAAACAAAGCACAAACTTTGTTCACTGCGGCTCTGTCAGCGTGTGTATGTGTGTTGCAGAAAGAGCAGGAAAAGCAGGTGTTGGGTATGCCTGGGCAGTTTTTTGCTTCCATCCACACCCACATGCAGTACTTTCGATCCGTACTTAGTGAGGAAACTGTATCAAGTGCATCAGCTTGACCCTTGTTCTGTCTTCAGGTGGACTCAATCACTAGCATGCTGACAGGAGCAGTAGTGGCTCGGGCATTTGAGCAGACCAAATGCTTCACACCTGGAAGAGGATTACAAGGTAAGACAGCCCCTTGTGCCGGTGATGTCGTCACCTGCATCCTTGTTAATAGAAAAAGTTTAACCTTTTCATTAAAGCTAATTACTTATGTGTTTTCTTCTGTGTTATATTTGCATCGTTTTGGGAGAAAGGACAAAGAAAAAGATGATGCTAGAGACTCCTGAGCACCAATGGCACCAATATGGACATAAAACAGAACAGGCACTGAAAAATGTTGCAGCCGCCTGCACATAGGGGCAGTAACTTCCTGTTGTGTAATGAGTGTGTGCACAGACTTTGGGGAAAGTGTTGTAGGTGGATTTGAGAATGTTTTTAAAAAAACCCAAACAGATTCCCAGCCATTTCCCCTCTGCCTCTGCACTTTTCCACTTCTTTTCACTTTCAGTCATTGTGGTGTCCTTCCCTTTATAGCGCTGAAATAGCACCACTTAGTTGGGTACTCATCTTCACTTTACGGTTTATTGTAGTGCTACTTACCAGTCAATTGAAAATGTGACCCTATAAAAGCTCTTGAGCTTGTATGCTATATGATCGTTTAATTTTACTCTGTTTATTTGCTACCTGACCTCCTCCTAGCCTTGGTTTTTAACCGCATTTTCTATTGTTGTGTTTTATCTCTCTAACAAAAATGTAGCAAATGTTACTGAAAAAGGACAGAATTTACCCTTTATCATTCCCCACACAAATTCAAACTAGCTTACATTGCCCTTTTATCCTCTGTGGAGCGCTATTCGGATGACTCAGTCCATTTTAAGATAAGAAAAGTGGTTGACATCAGCAATTGTTTTCTTTCTGTCTTTGCAAAAATGCTATCTGTTTTATATCCCGGTGGTTTGTATTGTGCTTAGCTCTCATATGACAAAGTTTGTTTATTTTATGCTTTTTGAAAGTGACTTTTATGAAGTGCAGTGTGCAGTAAGAGGGGAAAAAAATAGAAAATTATCCAGTGATTCTGTCATGTTGATTACTAAAGCTTGCAAACACTCCGACCCATTTGGCGCACAGCCTCCCCTCTCATCTACAGCTGTCCTCAAGTCAGTGCAAATATGCTTGAACTGAAAATAGGTCCGCTTCTCTTTGTGGGTTTGTGTGTGTGTGTGTGTGTGTGTTTGTGTGTGTATGTGTGTGTGCGCGCCTGTTTGTGTGCGGGTTTGTACGCATAAATTCCCTCAGGAAGCCTTGATCAGAGCAGATCCATCACAACTCCAGTAATGTGTGTGGTTGATAGCAGAGCAAATAGGATTATCTGACAAGTAGAGCATTCCTGCATCTCACGCCCTGTCTGTTGCTCTAAGACACACAAAGCCCCTGATAACAGCCACCTTTCTCTCAGAGATCTGTTGTTTTTCAAAGTAAACTTTATTATAAGTCATTCTGTGTAGTTTTTTGTTTCTTTTAACAGGTGTTACATCAGATTGACATGCTTTTATACTCATTTTTCAGCACTGTCTGAGCGAGGTGATAAAAAGATTTGATGGCAGGAGTTTAAAATTGATTAATAAAAAAAGAAGTGTTGCCTCTGGACATCAGTGACCTATAATTTTCTCTAGAAAGATTGAGCGAGATGGTGCAGCTTGACAAGGAAAGAGAAAAAGATGAGGTTAAGCAGACTGATCTAGGCACGATATTTTTTTTTTTTTTATGCAGTTTTTCTCATTGACTGGTAATCTCTTTATGCCAAGTGTGCCTCACAACTGATATAGAGTATATGCATTCATGTAGCTATGGTAGACCCATGCTAATTTACCGTGTATGTTTGTGTTTCTGTCAGAGTTTCAGCAGGAGATGGAGCCCCGAGTGAGCTGCACCAAAAAGTTGCGTCTCCACGTCAAGCAGGATCCCTGGAACCTTCCCAGCAGCGTTCAGGCGCTCACGCAAACCATAACTAAATATGTTGAAGGTCAGCGTGTACCCGAGCAGCTCCTCACATGGTTAACATGCACACCCAGCCCCTTACACTTTATGCTTTCTCAATGCTCAAGCCTTGTAGCTTGCTCACACAGTCACATCAAATATTTATCATGGATAGAACATGCCTGGCTGGAGAAGAAATGTGCTTTAAATTGACAGAGTATCCAGTAAACCTCGTCGCATTTATGAGATGTAATAATAACCTCTGTTACAGTTGTGTGGGTACAGGCGGTCCCACTAACTGCAGCACTTTCCTTAACCTTTAAACCTGAAACCATCCTGGGATTCATAAATTGGAGGAACAGAGGTGGAGCTGAACACATGCAGAGAGTTAAAGAGCTGCGCTCTGTGAGATTCCTTTATTTATTGATTTTTATCCAGAGAGACATTTCGTCCATATTTATTCCCAACGGGAGTGTGTGGCTTTTGTGTTCGTTGGCAGACAGATTAAATACACAGACACATACAGTAATACTGTACATGGACACACTAGCACTAAATTTCCAGATACAAACAAAGGCCAGCCACACAACACTCCTGGGAAAGGTGAGCGGGCGGTCACGCTTGAGAAAAGTCTCCTTATTAATAATAAGCAGAGGCCCTGTGTATGCTACTTTTTTTTCCTCCTCTTCCCATGATGGCTTTTCAAGCAGTGCAGCCTCCTGCTAGTATACCCGGAGTTCTGAGATGGCTGTAAACAAATGAGGATTTATGATGTTATCTTTGCCTCTGGTTGTTTTTATGATGTTATGTTTTTTTTTTTATATGCTCAGATGGAGTGAAGTTACACAGAGTTGTCCTATTTATGACTTTAAGACTTTAAATTTAAAGTATAGGTCAGTTCAGTTAAGGAGAAATGGGTCTATTTGATTTGATAAAAGGTTGTCCACTGCCTCACTGAATTTCTTTTATTTAATGTTTTTTTTTTTGTTTGTTTGTTTTATTCAGAGGTGAAGACTCGACTGCTCCTGGTCCTACTACAGTATACAGGTTTGTCCCTTCCTTTTACACTGAAGATTTACTCTGTTTAAATACAGATTGCAACAGCAAATTAATTTTAGGCCTTTTTTTAAGAGTGAAACCCAAAATAACACTCCCATAGACTTTGCTGTGTGCTCGTGACCCAAACTCAAAGTTCAATAAGATAAGATAATAAAAGCAACACACATGCAGACACAAAACATGAAAGAAAGGGGAAAGAATTAAGTCAGACACCTACAACACAGAAAATAGTTTCATGTGTGCACCTGTAATTATAGAGCACATTTTTCACTTTGTGTTACAGTTATAATTCAGTTCAGGTTAATTTCTATAGCACCAAAACACAACAACAGCTGCCTCACATCATAAAGACCCAACAATTATAGAGAGAAAACCCAAACAATCAGATGACCACCAAAGAGAGAGCACTTGGCGACAGTAGGGAGGAAAAACTCAATCTTAGAAAGCTCCAGCAAGACCAGGCTCGGGGAGCCATCTGCCGCAAGGGTTTGGGGGTGAGGAGGGGGAGAGAAAGGACAAAAGGGATAACGTGGAAGCAACCCAGAAATTGATATTAATGATTAAATGCAATATAAGAGTCAGAAGTACATTGCCCAATCTAAGGATTAGATCTCAGTTTCTTACAATAGAAGGTGTCAGGAGCCAAAAAATTGAAATCCCTCCGATCTGGCCGTCACTTAAAAAAAAAACCCCAAAAAAAACTTTAATAACCATTCACCTGATTTTCAATGATTTAAAAAATATTATGAGTCTTGTATACGAGAAGCTGTGAAATAAAATATCAGTTCCCTCCCTTAAAAACTGAGGTTTCTACTGGCCTTCAAATCTGCTTTCAATAACGAGGACATCCAAATATTTTAAGGATTTTGAGCATCCATCATCTTTTGTTAACTTGAGCTACACTCCTGAGAGTCCGTAGTCAGAGAGTAGCAGGTATTTGCCCTGAAAACTTTGAAGGAACTGGGTCAAGTACTTCTAATGGATTTTGGATAATAGCATTTTAAAATCACCCATCAAACGCTAAAAAACCACTAAAACCACCCCTACCTTTATCCTTTGAAATACTGTTTTGGGAACGACAGCGGAGACCTGAAATTGAGCATAAGTCCTATTATGGATAGTCTCAGAAGGCATTGCAGGTGGACAGTGATGTATTATAGTTACAGGTGTATTATTTAAAGAAAAACAAAATCCCATAGTAAAAAGGTTGGGAACCACTCCATTAAAAATAACTTCCACGTTGCCAAAGCTATAAATCAAAATCTATAGGACTACTTGTGTTGGCACTATTATACTGGAGAAGCCAGGACCGAATAACTACTGATAAAACTCAGACATTACTCTCATTTACAGACCCCCGGGAACTGGGTTAATAGTGTCAAAAAGTTTGCGGTCATTCCCTGCAACATTCACATTATTCATTTCTGAGGTTCATGAACCTATTTTTAACTCAGTTGGATTGCTGAACTTTTTAAAGGGGCCTATTTCTCTGGAAATTATGGCAGCCAATTATTTTCCGCTTGGGCACACCTGTCATTTGCTCTCGTTTTTTTCCTGATACATTATTTAATACCCAACACATGTGGAGTGGTGGGGGAGGGCAGCCTTTTGTTCACCTTACTGAAAGTCTCTTTAATTACCATAATAGACCTGTGGCACTTATTTCTTTGACCCTCATTGCTTTACACTGCAGTTTTTAATCTTGACTCTTCGCTCTGTTGTTTCTCTGTCATCTTTTCCTGAATCTACTTCTCAGCTTCTTTCACTGCTTGAACTCTTTAATCAACATGATTTTCAGTCTCACACCTCCCTTTGTTTCCTTGCAGACTCAGAAATCCAGCTACGTCGCGATATGGTATTCTGTCAGTCTCTAGTTGCGTCTGTGTGCGCCTTCTCCGAGCATCTGCTGGCTGTCCTCAACCAGGTAAATTATGTATGTGACTTGTTTAGAACTGGGAATTAAGATACAGTTATTTTCCTCAGCTCTCTGCTTAGCTTTTCTGTATTTTCTCTCAGTTCTGCAATGTAGGGAAAGATGTTGACCAGGAAATCCCTGACTCCCAGGACCTTCAGGAGGCCCAGGAAGCTAGCCGTCGATGGCTCGAGCAGATTGCCAGTGCTGGGCTGCTGTTCCACTTCCAGTCCCTGCTTTCGCCCAATCTGGTGAGCGACAGATTGGATATAGACACTGTGAAAACAGGAGTTTGCTGTTCATTTTGTTGTAGAATAATCAAGCCTGTTACTATGCATATTTTTGCATTATATAAAAGTAAATGCTATTTTTAAATGACAGTTATAACCATAGTCGTGTCAGCTAAGTGCTATCAGGGGACATCATGTGTTTAGATATCCCCTTGCTCACATTTGTATTTTGCTTGGCACACTCTCCCTGGGTAAGTGAACTCCTGCCATGCATGCTTGGACATCCTTCCAGATTCTGATGGTTTGTATTTACTCTTTCTATGAACGGGTCTCTGTTTGTGGAGCAACATGACCCCCCTTGAATTTAAACCTAAAATGCTGTTGAGACTTTAATTTTTAGTCTATAATTAATGTGGTGGTAAGAGATATAATATGATGTGATATACTTATCTTGCCAGAGCACCTTTCATGTTCTGATAAACAAACAGCATACCAAACAATCAGTCATATCAACCAGTATTGGTTACAGAGTTTCAAAGTTTTCTACAGCCATGTGAAATATGTTTTCACGGGACTCACATGTTGACTCAGTAACTACTAGTTGCAGAGGACCTTTGGCCTGTGTTGTTTTTTAGGTTATTGTACAGCACTTTGGTCAGCTCTGTTGCTGTTGTTAAAAGTGCTATATAAATAAGTGGTATGGCCTGCTCATGAACTTTAACATTTAACTTGCTAACTGAGCCTAAGATGCAGCTCTTGGGCTTTTTGCTGTTTTTCCCAGCATTGCACAGGTTGGGCTTGGGGTGAGTCCATTGTAGCATTGTGTTAAAACACATCTGAATGCTCTAGAGCTGCAAAATCCCCAAACTTTTGCTTATAAAAGTGCTCACACTTGCTTATGATCACTTATTCAAGTACATTCGACTAGCAGTGCCTGGTTACTGCTTTTCTTCTCAATTCATATGGAAGCAGTAAGGATTTACTCTCTCAAACCTTCTTTTTCTCATGACTGTATGTTATGAGCTATGCAACAAGATTTTGCTTTGAGCTACAGCTCAGTCATTAACTGCAGCTACCAACTAAGATGCTATTTATGTGGATTTTCAACATTTATCATCATCGATCAGTACGCCACTACCAGGTTGTGTGGTGGACCTCAACTAAAGCAATATTTTCAGGTTGCTACAGCTGTGCTCCATCTGTTGTTTCTCAGGTATCGGAGAGCTTCCTGGTCAGCATAGTTACTATTTAAGCTGGATCTGCTAACTCAAGGTGTCCTCAGACAGCAGACCTCAAATGCCTTAAAAACCAAAACACGTAGTTGTTTGAGCTTTGTTTTTGCCAGATTGTTTTTTTTTTTTTTATCGCACATGTCTAGGCAGGAGTTCATTATGAACAGCCGCTGCTAATACCGAGCCAAGCACAGACTGCAACCTCAGTGGGATCAATATTAACATTTCCCACCAAGGTTTATAATAAATTCAAATGTGTCTTCAACCAAGCTCGAGAAGCCAAAATTTTAGTTTAAGTAGCTGAAGGACTGGTGATATATTTTTGAAAGCTGTTATTTGCTTCTTTACCGCCGTTTGTGGATGACTGTTTATTTAAGTTAGAGGGGTAGGTGGCTTAAGTCAAGACCTAGGAAATGATGGTTGATTCTACTTGCCTGCTGCCATACTGCCTTTTTCTCTGCACGCCTTCCCCTCTCTGTCTGTCTCAAGAAATTTCTCTTTCAAGTGTCTCTGTGGAACAAACTAGGGCCTCGGTACCTGCAGGTGATTCCAATGAAATCTCAACACGTTCCTTTTCAGGGCACCGCATGAAAGGCGGCATGAGTGGAGCTGGGGACGTTGTGAATGTGTGTGTGTTTGCGTTTTTGTGTGCACTGAATACCGTGTGTGTCGGGGGTAATGTGTTTATGTCACATCCTCTGAGATAAACTTGCCCACACACAGCAGGTGTCACTTGGCAGGACAGTGGGTACCCTTCTGTCACATGTCGGGCCATCTCAAATGTGTTTTTAGAAAAAGGCCCTAATCCTCTTCCACCGCTGCTCCTGTTTATCCCTCTGCATGTGGTGGATGGAAAGCAGAAGAGACGGGGGAAGAAATGAAATGGGATGAAGGGTGACTGAGGAGCGCAGTGTGTCAGAATCAAAATATTCAAGGTGCTATCACTGTGGCCACAAGCAGACGCGCTTGCCATTAGGGTTGCCTCTGTGGATGTTTGAAATGGAAACATGTACACACACACACAGTCAGAGATATATAAGCAATCAATATGAAGCAAATATGAACATATCAATGCTAAAGTGCTGTGCCACTACAAATCTGAGTGATGGTGCACTTAAATATTTTTTTTCAGTGAGGACTACTGTACTGCAGTCAAAAGAAGACTGTCATTTCCATCTTCAGTAATTTTGTATTTGGCTTGAGCAGACACACAAAGTTCCACATGCATGTATGGAAGGACGAGGATAGCTTCCATCTGCATAGATGAAAAGTTCGTGTTAGTGATGGTGAGAGCACAGCAGGATCCCCTGTAAAGAGCAGAGCATGCGTCAGTGGCAACTTTTATATTTATCAGATAGATATAACTGTATGGGTCAGATACAATGCAAAAAAAAAAAAAAGATACAGCATGAAAATGAGAGCAGTGTTGGAGGTGGATTACATCAGTTAGTTCACATGCATGTAGTCTTTATATGTGCTTAAAAATGTTACTTAAAAGACTCGATGTTTGTGAAAATCTAAGGTACTTCATCAGTTAAAGTAGGCAGGGGTGGTGTAAGAAACTACAAGCATATAACATAAGATGCATGTATAAAGTTAATTTTCATCTCTTCAAGTGTGTAGCATGTTAACAGTGATACATGAAAAATGTCAAACTAGCCAAAGCCAACACTGAAGGAAAAAAGTAAAACTGGTTGGATAGTATGACTTCTCTACTGTGATCATCACAGATTAATGGTGAGACTAAATTGTGATTTACCCTTGTTGAACTGTGTATCAGCTAACAAGATTTGCAGGCTTGTAAACCATGAGGTATTATACATTATTAAGCCACCACTTGAATGTGAGAACTTCATTATTCTCCTCTGGAGGAAGATTATATTTGCTGTAAGGGGGTGTATTCTACATGCATGCAAACTCAACACAGAAATGCTGCAGCTGGCTGGAGGATTCAAACCCACCAGCCTCTCCTGCTGTGAAGTGACAGTGCTGACCTCTGCAGCACCGTGCTGCCTATGTGGAGTTTGCATGTTCTCCTGGGGTCTGGGGTCTCTCCAGCTACTCTGGCTAGATGATGTGTTAAGTGGTGATTCTAAATTAATCCCGTAGGTATAAATGTGAGCGTTCCTGGTTGTCTGTCCTGTTGAGTTAGCCCTGCACCACACTGGTGTCTTGTCCAGGTCTACCCCACTTCTTGCCCGGTGACAGCCGAGAGGAGTTTCAGCCCCTTTGTGGCACTGAATTGGATAAGTGGGAGAAAATGGATGGATGGAGGCATGCATTGCGCATTACAGATTAAAGGTTAAAATGTCTTATTTGGTGGATGGGCCATAGCTTTTTCCCTTCTGAAAACCAGGTATCGACATTACCCACAACCTGGCTGCATCTTACCTGGTAAACATTATACTAATGGCTAATGTGCCCTCAAGTAAATTCAAATTTTATTTGTCACACACACACACACACACACAACCATACACAGTATGACATGGGGGTGAAATGCTTGTAGCTGTACAATGCCTGACCATTAAATGACAGAAAAAAGTTTTACAGTATTTACAATTTACAGGTTACTACAAAATTTACAAATTAACTTCGAAATTTTGTAGTAAAAAATGTGCAAATAGCAGAAAGAGATTATAAGGATTATAAATTATAGGAAATGTGTGGTGGTGCGTGTGGTGATGTGTAGTAGAAGTAGTTCCCGTTTTATTTAGGATCTGTGGATAACCGGCCATTACACTTTCCTGCTTTTACAAACACTTTCGTGCTCTAATTTTCTTTTTAGACTGATGAGCAAGCCATGCTGGAAGACACTCAAGTAGCCCTAATTGACCTGGAGAAAGTCACCTTCTACTTCCAGGAATTTGAAGGGGAGCCTCTTGTTGCCAGTATGTACTCTGTGTTTTAGTTCACATTAGCATCTTCTGACGGTTATCATCACAGGGTTCTGATTGCTATTAATAAATTCTAAACTCTTCCTTTCCTCTCCTCTGGCAGACATGCCCATTTCATACCAGGTGGAGGGCAATCTCCAGGCCTTGAAAGTTTGCTTCTACCTTGAGAGTTTCTATTTCTCTCAGCTGCCTTACAGGCTGAAAAATGGAGGAGGTGTCAAAATCTACCCAGTGCTTTTCACACAAGGTAAAGTGAGCCTAGCTGCTGTAAGAAGATCAGTCCTCACATTATGCATGGCCAGTATATGCAATGCCTTTATCTTTCACTTGATCTGTTGATCCCTTTTTAGCGCTCGAGAGTATGGAAGGATACTACTACAGAGATAATGTGTCAGTGGAGGAATACCAGGCACAAATCAATGCTGCCTCATTGGATAAGGTCAAGCAGTACAACAAAAGACTGAGGTATTGTAAATGACACACACACACGGATGGATTAGATAGATCCAATAATAATGTAATAATGATGATGATAATAATAATGATACAATAATAATACAAAAAATATCATCAAATAACAAAAAAGAATCCTTGAAACAGAAAATAAAAAAACCTCTACCCTCTTAGCGGGATTAAAAGTAAATTAAAAGTTAAAAAAAATAAAGGATAACTAAGAGTTACACAAAAGGCTACTGGAATGTCTGCTACGCTAATATGCGTATGAGCTGTATGAGTCACACACTCACACTTTGAGATTGCGTTCCCTTTGTGATTTGGCTTTTTTACAGTCTGTTATAAATCAAGACGACCTCCAATTCAGTCAGACTTGGGTGTCAACACCCAGCAGGGCCTCAAGGTGATTGGCTGAGAGAAACACTGCGGGAATGTTTTATGATTGGTTGCGAACGCACTCAGCAGGGGGAAGCAGTGATTGGATGAGGGTGCCCAGCATGTCACCGTTGCTGATGCAGTGCATTTACAGCTGCTGCACTCGGTTCCCTCGCACCACATTGGTTTGCTGCACACCTCTGTGAGACCCACTGTGATTGACCAAGTGAGGATAATTAAATACGATGAAAAGAAACAAGGAGAAGATGCCTTTGGGAGTAATAAATGAGAACTTAACTTTATTTAACTTCCTGAAAATGGCAATGAACGAGTGTACAGTTGTGGTCGGAAGTTTATATATTCTCAGCATGGGCGTGAATGTCATGGTCATTTGTGGTCTTTTAGTGATTTCTTTGAACTGTTCTTTTTCCAGGGTGGAATGATTATACAGCACATGTCTTTAATGACATAAAAAACAAATTTATTTTTTAAATTTATCTAATACAGACAGGCTCCTGGGTTGTTCCTAACATCCTAACCAATTTCCTCTTATCTGAGGGTGACAGTTTGGGTCTTCTTTCAGACCTTGGCAAAGTGATGCCCCATCCAAATAACTTGTATTTGCATATATTGTTTGAACTTAGAAATGCCTCCAAGAAACCTTTAAAACATGTGTAAATGTGCAATTCTTCTTCTTAGATTTTCAATGAGTTTCTTGGACTTTCTCGTTGTTCGGGTTATTGGTGAGTGCTCTCAAACAAATCCTTTTTGTGCTTCAAAGAGTTGTAACCAATCACGATCACCTATGAGTAGTTAACAGGACTTGGTCTTGTCAAGCTAAAAGATACCGTAGAACAACACTTTTAAAAACCTTTAGGTGAGTGTATGTAGACATTTAAGCCTATATGTATCATTTTAAGCCCATGCAAATGAGAGAAAAATCCAAAATAAATTCAAACTTGTGCATCCAATTCTTGTTTTTCAAAGTCATTAAAGATGTAATCTGTACAATCATTCCAATCTGGAAAAAGAACAGTTCAAAGAAATCATTAAAAACCCCAAATTACCATGACTTTCATGCCCCTGATGAGTGGATGTGAACTTCTGACCTGCAGTTTGCACGATGTTGTCAGAGGATCGCTGCAGTTTTAATGAAGAGGCTAGCTTGTGATTTCTCAGAGCTGAAATCACATTAAAACCAGCTGTGTATAAACTGGAAATTCTTAGACTATCTAATTTAGAAGTTACATGTGGCTTTTGAAGTGTTACAAATGTCCTGTTGCAAGATGAGAGCTTAATAAATATAGAGGCTGATTTTCTTTCAGTTATGATGATTGGACACAAATTCATCATAGCAGAAAGCCTTCTTTACGTCCTGCCAGTGTAACTAAGAGTCCTGTTACATCAACACTAAATAATGATTTTTATAAACTATCCCGGTTCATAAAAATGAACAATCCCTCTCATGCTAAGATGTTTGAAGCCCAGTTAAAATATGTTTCCCTCGCTGAATACCTGGAAAGTTCGACGACTTGACATATCAGCGTCGACTAAACATCTGCTGCAGGCCGGGCGGATAATTAAATACAAAGCAGATCTTGTATCAGAACTTTTTCTTAGCATTCAGGGTCGGGCTGCTGTGGGGGGTTGAATAATTTAAGGTTTGAGCAGTCCCGTGCCACATCAGTACCAAACCACTCAAGCAAAGTGTTCATTTACTGGGACTGCTTTCTGGGGAGAGTTTTTAAATTGTTTGCAGTGTTTAGTTTGAGTGTTTTGAGTATCAGATTGCCCAAAGCAGAGTTTAGGAGAGAAGATTTTGCTGTGCATGGGGCTTTTCTGCTTGCCCTCCTAACTCTTTGTGCGTCAGATCTCCTGGGACTCTACAACCTTTTTAATAGTCAAATATTGCTATTTTGTTGCATCTCTTTCATCTCATCAGCTCCATTTCTGCAGACTGCATTGAAGATAAAGGTTATCAGTATCTAAAATGTCATTAGTCTAACCTTTTCATCTTATTTTCTATTGTAACCTTTTCACATGAATTATCCAAGCAAACTCATTTGTTTCTAAATGGTGCAAACCATACACATAGAGTAGGAACTTTCTGGAATTTAGCCATGTTATTTAGGACAGCCTTTGGTTTGACATGTGTGCACATGTACTGTAAATGTCTGTACACTTATACCTTTACTTAAAAAAAACTTAAATTGAATTGACAGTACAGGCTCCAGCATTAACTCAGAGCAGATGTGTCTTACAGGCAAGCAAGTGTGGCTGGTGATTTTGGGCGCATTAGGGGTGCTGGGTAGGGATTTGGAGAGGCAGTGTGCTTCAGGGATACAAGCAGAGTGAAACTGTTGGAGACTGTGCTCTTCTCAAATACTGCTTTTCAGCAAAACCTGTTGCAGCATAAAACGGCTGATTATTTCAGTTGAAATCCAATAAGCTCTCTAAGCTCTCAAGACAGTTTTCAGGCCTCATGCTGTATATATACTGCAGTCTAGTGGGGTGAATTAGGGGGTGTAGAGTTGACATATATATCTGCTCCCAAGCAACGACTCTACAAAAAGTCACTTTTTTTTTCTTTTTTTCTTTTTTTTGAGAGTCTGGGCAGCAGTTTGACTTCTTTATTTTCTGCTGATGTGATTCCCTACAGCAACACCAGCGAGAAATCACAATGCAAAGCACACGAGCTGAGCACATTAACTTAACTGCAACTGTTTGTCAGTAACTGCTTCCACCTCTGAGGTGGAATTATTTCTGTTGTGCATTACTTAGAATGTATAATGTTTCTATCATTTTCAGGATTAATCATGTCATGAGAAAATCTTATTTTTCCTCCTTCTTTCGGACGCCCCCTTGTAAACCTCCCCTTTCACTCTTGCTGCCATCCTTTTTTCACAAATCACATTTTGTGGGAAAATACTGTAAAATGAAATGTGTCCAGTGAATAAACGATGATTAATACACGTGATGATCCTCAATGAACTTTTTGTCATCTTTGAATTTGTTTGAGCTTTAGGGTTGTCCGCATCTCAAGGCAGCGCTTTTATTGCACCCCGGTTTCATAAGAGAATTTGAAATAGTGAAAAACAACCGATCTATATTCATTTATTAAAGAAAGTGGGGAGGCGTCACCACGGCAACCAAGACAACAAAGCTTTCAGAAGAAGTGGGAAACCATCATCCTTTTCTAAATGCTGTATAAATGTAACCAAGTGAATTCTTTTTTTTATTAATAGCATATTTAAAAAATAATAGAGAAGCCATGTGAAAGCCAGTGATGTGGAAGACCTGAACTTTAGGTCTCTGAGGTGAGCAGTGCGGTGATTTAATCACCTCACTAAAACGATAGTCACTGAAATGATGTGTATATCCAGAAATGAAAAATCAAGTTAAGGATCACAAAAAGCATGCAAATCAATACTGCTGCTTTAAATTTGCTAGGGAATCATTCATTGTCATTCATTTATATGAAAGTGAAGTGAAGCCAGATGTGAACAACTGCCCATTTCTGCTCCCACCCAGAGTGTTTCCTTGTTTTAAACGTCACAAAGTAAACAGTCCCAGGTGGTTTTCAGTAGTTAGTGCTGTGGTCTCACTCCGTGTAATATTACCAGCAGTTTTCTTTTGCCGGGTGCCATGTGTCATCTGGCTGACCACAGACCAGGCTGTGATGTCACTCCTCTCTCCGCTGCAGAGTTCCAACCTCGAGCACCTCGTTATCCTTGGAGTTCAGCCACAGCAGTGTTGGGTTAAACCCACGCTGTGGGCCGGAGCCAGAGGCTGACTGACAGACAGACAGAGCGCTGAACACACATTACTGAACTGAATGAACTGCAGGACTGAGGGTTGAACGCTGTCTTGCTGTCGACTCCTTAGACAGATTCCCATTATTCCCAAGAGCCCATGTGCATTTGGGACCCTGAAGGTGTAGTTATTTAGAAATTCGATTTTTTTTTTTTTAAACTAACATTTCTTTATCAAATGCTGGCAGTGGAATCATTTTGAATTAAAGGTAAAGAGAGCTTCTCATTATATTTTCCTCTTGTGGGATCCCGTTTAAAAGAAACAAGTTTTTCTGCAGGAACGATTTGGGGTTTGCGTGCATCATTTTGTACATGCGGTGCATTTCATTGTGAAATGCTGAAGCACAAGGTAATATTTTATGTCTACATCAACTAATATTTTTGTGCTTACCCTGATCTTTGCCAGCATGTGTTGTGGACAATTTCAGAGCGGTAAATAATACCACAATCTGTGTCTATGGCTTTCACTGTTCGTACCCACAAAAAGACACAGCATGATCTGTGCCAACCCATCATGTCGGATGAAGTCACTCACAAGTTTAACCACAAAACATGAACTCATGGGCCAGAATGGGTTAGTCAGCGGTATATAGAGCCAGAAACTGCACCCACGTTTTCAAGCTTGCATAAACCATCTTAGCTGACATGTGCATTTATCTAAAAGGACCCGGAAACACTGATGTGTTCAAAAGTGACAGATTCCTTAGTCACAGGTTTGCAGTTCGCTTAAATCGCATGCAAGTTCCCTGTCGTGCAAAAATCACAAAGATATTGAGTTTATTTGAGGGAATAAGAAAACTCTCAAAATGGGTAGAAGTACATGGA